GTATTGGTCATCTGTATGTCCTCTTTGGAGAAATGTCTGTTGAGGTCCTCTGCCCATTTTTCAATTGGATTGTTTATTTGTGTGTGTGTGTGTGTGTGTGTGTGTGTGTGTGTGTGTTATGTGTTACTTTGTATAAGTTCCTTATATATTTTCGGTATTAATCCCTTATTGGATGTATCATTGGTGACTATCTTATCCCATTCAGTAGAGTATCCATCACTGTGCAGAAGCTTTTTAATTTGATGTAGTCACATTTGTTTATTTTTCTTTTGTTTCCCTTGCACAAGAAGACATGTAATATTACTAGGGCAATGTCAAAGTTTACTGCCTATGTTTTCTTCTAGGAGTTTTATGGTTTCAGGTCTTAACATTTAAGTCTTTAATCCATTAAAAAAATTTTTTTATTGATTTCAGAGAGGAAGGGTGAGGGAGAGAATAGAAATATCAATGATGAGAATGATTGATCGGCTGCCTCCTGCATGCCCCCTACTGGGGATAGAGCCTGCAACTCGGGCATGTGCCCTTGACCAGAATTGAACCCGGGACCTTTCAGTCCACAGGCTGACGCTCTAGCCACTGAGCCAAACCTGCTAGGGCAGTCTTTAATCCATTTTTATTTTATTCCTGTATATGGTGTAAGAAAGTGATCCAGTTTCATTCTTTTGCATGTATCTGTCCAGTTTTCCCAACACCATTTATTGAATAGACTTATCTTTACCCCACTGTATATTCTTGCCTCATTTGGCATATATTAATTGAACATATAGGCATGGGTTTCTTTTTGGGCTCTCACTTCTGTTCCATTTACCCATGTGTCTGTTTTTATCCCTGCACCATGCTGTTTTATTATAGCCTTATAGTATAGTTTTTGATATCTGGTCTTGTGATACCTCCAATTTTGTTCATTTTTGTCAAGATTGCTTTGGCTATTTGGGGTCTCTTGTGGTTCCATGTAAATTTTAGTATTATTTGTTCTAATTCTCTAAAAAATGCCATTAGTATTTTGATAGATATTGAATCTGTAGACTGCTTTGGGTAGTACGGACATTTTAATGGTGTTAATCCACGAGCACTGTATATTCTTCCATTTCTTTGTATCTTCTTCAGTTTCTTTCTTCAGTGTTTTATAATTTCCCAAGTACAGGTCTTTTGCCTCCTTGATTAAACTTATTCCTAGGTATTTTTTTTTTAAATGTAATTGTAAATGGGATTGTTTCCTTAATTTCTCTGATTGTTCATTATCTATATATATAAAAGCCTAAGCGACCGAACGACTGGTCGCTATGATGCACACTAACCACCAGGGGACAGATGCACAGGATCGGGCCTGCGGGGATCGGGCTCCTTCCTGTCTGGCTCGGGCCTGCGGGGATCGGGCTCCCTCCTGTCTGGCTCGGGCCTGCGGGGATCGGGCTCCTTCCTGTCTGGCTCGGGCCTGTGGGGATCGGGCTTCCTCCTGTCTGGATTGGGCCTGTGGGGATCGGGCTCCCTCCTGTCTGGATCGGGCCTGTGGGGATCGGGCTTCCTCCTGTCTGGATCAGGCCTGTGGGGATCGGGCTCCCTCCTGTCTGGATCGGGCCTGTGGGGATCGGGCTTCCTCCTGTCTGGATTGGGCCTGTGGGGATCGGGCTCCCTCCTGTCTGGATTGGGCCTGTGGGGATCGGGCCAAAACTGGCTATCCAACATCCCCGGAGGGGTCCCAGATTGCGAAAGGGTGCAGGCCAGGCCAAGGGACCCCACCGATGCATTAATCCGTGCACCGGGCCTCTAGTTGACATATAAAATGCAATCAAATTCTGAATATTAATTTTGTATCCTGCTACTGTACTGAATTTGTGGGGTCTCCTCTTCCTGGGACTGGTGCCTCTGGCTGGGGAGCCCACTGTGTGGCTGGAACCCCTTGTTCCTCAGAGGAGACCTCTGCAGCTGAGATATTTTTCCAGATTCTTGCCGCACCATTTGTGTGGGACCTGCCCTTCCATGTCTCTGCCCCTCCTACCAGTCTCATTGTGGGTTCTTCTTTATACTTTAGTGGTAGGACTTCTGTTCGGCTAGTGTCCAGATGGTTCTCAGTGATGGTTGTTGTATAATTTAATTGAAATTCTTCTGTAGTCATGAGAGGGGCCAAGCACAGCATTGACCTATTCTGCCATCTTGGCTGGAAGTGCACTGTATATACTAGTTTTAATTAGTCTTCTCTGGTCTCCTACAAAAAGGTTATTATCTTTTTTCTTCAGAATGAGATCCAGGTTCTCTTTTGTATGCTTCTCTCAGTGTTGCAGAGTAAACTTTAGAAATAAGCAGAAAATAAAGCTTTAGGAGTGAAAAGTTACTTTTTTAAACTTTAGGGGTAAAAGTGTCAGTAGTGAACAGCCTCTTAAAAAGATTTCAATAGGGTACTTTTTTCAAGATAAAAAGTATCTTTGGTTTGTGATTTTTCAAAAAGAACTTTAAATTTTATTTTTTAATTACAGCTTACATTCGATATTATTTTATATTAGTGTCTGGTGTATCATTTTGTGATTTTAAAAACGTTTATGAGAGAATTGACAGTACTAAAAGCCTATTAAAATGTTTTTAAAATTCGCACATTAAAGAGATAGCAGTATAGAAAGCAGCTTTCTAAACCTTTAAATTAGATGGTGTGCCATGTACTGAGGGCATTGAGGTCTCTGTCATTGCCTCGGGGTTTCGGGCAATGGGAACACTGCAGCATTAGCCCTGAGTTCTGAAGGACCTCAGCAGTGCTAGGAGTAGAGTCAGAGGACAGGCAGCTGACAGAAAGAAATTCAGTTAAACAGCCTTACAGATGGGTACTAGAAATACTGGTTAACACCATGTCCTCCTGGTGTTCATTTTTTCAGATCCTCTAACAGGTGCTTGAGTCAAAAAACAAAATTAATTTTCTATATTGTTTATTCCAACTAAATGATCTCCTCTGTATAGTTGCAAGATACATGGCTTGGTGAATACTTTTAATTAAGTAAGAAAAATAAAGAACAATGATAGCTTCTTGCTTTGTCTAAGAAAATATCTGTTAAAGGGATCCAAACACAACACAGTAACTATCATTGCAATGTCTTTTTTCTATTAGGAAAACAGTTTACCACTGCAATAAACCATCACAGAAGGGGGGATAGAAAAGGTGAAGTTTATTCTTTAGGAAACAACCTCACAAAGGACCAAATGTGTGATTCTAGAAAGTTTAAAGATAATAAGAGAACACACAACCTGCTCTTGGAACTCATCTGAGAACTTATTTCAGGGGGGAAATCAAGGCCAAGGTGGGAGAATGATGCACAGTGAGATAGCTAATGCCTGCTCATACTGCCAGGTTTTGAACCAGCAGCAGTGAGGTGATAGTGTCAGAATTTCTCTTATTAAATGCAACTAGGAATGACTACAGACAGAGATGAGAATAGGAAAAATAAGCTGCTATATTAATATAATTTACTTTCAAATTTTAATTCAATTGCTAATAGTCTTGTTACAGATGAATTACCACTTTCTAAACCTCATTGTTCCTTTTCCCATCAAGCAAGCCCACTTAGGATCAGGCATGACGTTTAATATCTCTCTCACATTTTGAAAAGAGATAGTACATTTACAAGAATTAGAGAAAAAAAAAGATAAGTATCAGGCCTCTTCTAACAAAAGAAATAGCCAGTTACATATTTCCTAATACATTAGAAATTGATTTGAATATGGTTACTCATGATGACCAATTAGTATAAAAGCTTTTTAGAAATTAAAGGCTAGATTTCTCCCAAGAGATCCATCTTTACCTTAAATTTTTTTCTACACTTCTTTTTCCTTTTTTTACAATTCTATTTCCTCCTACATTTGAATCTTATCTCTTCCACAGCTCCTTTCTAAAAATTATTGGACATACACTAAAGTGGACTTAATCGTATAATGGACCCCTATTTTATTTTACATATGAAAAGAGATTTAAAGTTTTCCTATAATATCAAGACTATCACTTCGTATTCTGATATGCTTTCTTGAGCTGGGGGTTGAAAATTGCATATAACCTGCATATTCTCTTACCTGTGCCAAAGTCTGAGAGTAATCATTCCTGATGTACACCTAAAAGTGCCAGGGATGACCGATTACTGTCATGCTTTACCTCCCTGCAACATGTCTCTGGGTTTCTTCAAAATCTGGGATGCCTAGAGGAGTGCCACCGACATGAATGCCATCGGTTACAGGGGTTATGTGGAGCCCTGGCTGGTGACTCAGTTGGTTGGAGCGTAGTCTTGTGCACCAAAAGGTTCTGGGTTGAATTCCCAGTCAGGGCACATACCTAGGTTGTGGGTTCGATCCCTGGTCAGGGCACATATGGGAGGAAACTGATCGATGTTTCTCTCTCACTCTTCCTCTTCCTAAAATCAGTAAACATATCCTCAGGTGAGGATTTATTTATTTATTTATTTTTATTTTTTGTTAAGAGTTAAGGTGGAGCCTTAGCCGGTTTGGCTCAATGGATAGAGCGTCGGCCTGTGGATGGAAGGGTCTCTGGTTCGATTCCCGGTCACGGCACATGCCCAGTTGTGGGCTCAATCCCCAGTGGGGGGTGGAGGGGCGGTGTGCAGGAGGCAGCCGATCAATGATTCTCTCTCATCACTGATGTATCTAGCTCTCTCTCCCTCTCGCTTCCTCTCTGAAGTCTATAAAAATATATATTTTTAAAAAAGTTAAGGTGCCCTAACCGGTTTAGCTCAGTGGATAGAGCGTCGGCCTGCGGACTCAAGGGCATGTACCTTGGTTGCGGGCACATCCCCAGTGGGGGGGGGTGTAGGAGGCAGCTGATCAATGTTTCTCTCTCATCGATGTTTCTAACTCTCTATCCCTCTCCCTTCCTCTCTGTGAAAAATCAATAAAATATATTTTTTTTAAAAAAGAGTTAAGGTGAAAACAAGGATAAAAAGCAGTTTTTGATGTCTTAATCCTTTAGACTTAGTGGAACACCTTACCTGAGCCAGGGACAAGCAGCACCACAAATGTCGGCCAGCTCAGTGCTGCTCCTCTACAGGTGACAGAGGGACATCTTCTACCTTGGTAGGCCTTTGCTCTTGGAGGTCTTAACCAGTGGAAGGCAGCATGGTACAGAACTGCCCCACCTTCTCAGTCCTCCGCACACAGCTACATTCTGGCTCAATACAGTCTCCTGTTCACGCTCAGTAGTTAAAGAGTGACGAGCAACCTGTGGCTGAAGGTCATAACAGCCTGCCTAGCTCCGCTAAACAACTCCTGAGCTCATTTCAGCCTCCCCTGTAAGTGCAGTGGGAGAGCAGCCTCCCAGTCAACCATCTTCTTCAGCCACACTCTAATATACATAGAACTCATACAAACTTAACAGCAAGACACACCCCTAGCTGGTTTGGCTCAGTGGATAGAGCATCAGCCTGGGGACTGAAGGGTCCCAGGTTCGATTCCGGCCAAGGGCACATGCTTGGGTTGTGGGCTAGATCCCCAGTAGGAGGTGTACAGGAGGCAGCCGATCAATGATTCTCTCTCATCATTGATGTTTCTAGCTATCCCTCTCCCTTCCTCTCTAAAATCAATAAAAAAAAAATATTTTTTAAAAAAAGCAAGACACAAATGACCCAATAAAAAATGGGCAAGAAATATGAGGAGGCAAAGGACCTATGGCAAAATCAAATGGCCAGGACACTTGTGAAAAGATGCACCACATCACTTACATTCAGGAAGTGCTAGGAAAGGAACAATATTACAGTAACAAGAATGGGAGGGAGGCAGAGGAAAGGGAATGCTCCTGCCTTCCTAGTGGAGGCGTGAAGGCTTCTAGGAGAGCAATCTGGTGATTTCTACTAATTAAAAATAGATGTAATCAGGATTCCACCTGTGGGGATCTTCTGCAGAACTAGAAGGACTGATATGTAAAGCTGTATGTATGAGGATGTTTTCAGTACAGTATCACTTAGTACAGCAAAAAGCTGGAAACAAGGGAATACCTATCAGTAGGAGAATGGCCAGGTAAAGAATATATGGTCACTTCAGGGAGTATTATGCACCCATTAAAAAGGATGGATTGGAGCTCTGCCAGATGACCTAGAGGGGTTTCTGGAGGAATTGTTCAGTTTCTTTGGAAAAAAGAAAGTTTCAGAAAAGTATGTATGATCTCATTATTATTAAAGAAAAGTAAGGAAGGAGACACATTATGGGTTGAGGAGGTGACATCTGATGTGAAAGGAGGGAGAAGGGGAAGGGGTAAACACAAAAGGAAAAAAGTCCTAAGCATTCACATGATCATGTGTCTACATTTAGGTAGTGTATGTATGGTATATGGCAAGACCTATACAGAGACAAAAGAAATTACAAAACATTCCTTATACATGTGAGCTTGACAGGGCTCGGCAGCCTTAATGATTGAGGCTGGAGGGAACAGTCCTATGGGGCATAGTGCCATCTGGCCTGGAGGGTTGTTCCATTTGGAGTGGTCTGTTGTGCCCTGCCCAAGCAGGAGGAGATTCTATATCCACAGGAGATGGAGGATGCCATGGGGGAGCAGTCCACCTCACTCACTAGCTCCCTGGCACAAGCAGGCACTCAGGGACGCAATGAATCTCACTCTAGGTTCTTAGACCCAGCTCATCCAAGTGTCCATATACCCATCTGTAAAGGGATGTGATAAGATTATCTGCCTCTTAAACTGGTGACTGAAATCAGATACCACAAATGACTCATTGTTGGACTCTAATGCTATATAAATACAAGGCATGAAGAAAAGAATCCACCAATATTTACTGTTCAAACCTGCCCATATTAAGTTCTCAGTCCCTAAAAGGCAGTATTATGTTTCTTTTTGACATTCTATTATTCAATATAGTAAATAGGTAGTTTAAGTTGGAAAAATTGTCATGAGGATTTTTAAATACAAAAAGCAAATAAAAAAGAATCACAAATCTACCACCCCCTCCCCAGCCAATTTTTTTTTCACTTCCTAAATTGACCTTCCGCAAAATAGGTTATTCATCCCTCAGGTAGAAGATGGTGGGGAGGTCTGGTTAGCTGGAGCCCTGTGATATGCATTTCTTTCTTAGCAAGTACCCAACAAAAACACACATCCATGAACCAGATCGTTAGTTAACAAGAAGAAAATGATGAATAAGAGGTCCCTGAAATTTTCCTTTAACAGTTTTTAAACTACAAGAAAGGTACCAATGAATGTGATTATTTTGCTTACATCCATTTAAACTTTCATTCAAATGTTCATTGTGCACCTGACCTGCTCAGGGTCAGGTGCTTGCCTGCCGCCCAGGATGCCAAGAGGATAACCACATAGTTCCTGCCTTCTGGAAGCTCACCACTGGTGGTGGGAAATGCTTCCGGCAATAGTTCTGATATCTGTGGTAAAGGTTCACTCAGGAGGATGAATTCCATCACACAGTGTCCACACGAGAGAAGAGATGGGCCTTGTGGGCCCTAGCACAAATGTTCCTGCAGACACTGCTGGCCGGGCACCCCTTCCCTTCCCCACAAAATTCACAAAAATACATGACCACTAGTGCTGACTCATGAAGTTCCAATTGTTTAGTCTTATAACTACGCTTCTACGCTCATATTTTAAAATAAAATCACTTGAAATTAAAACAAAAGCACTCCTAGCATGAAATGAACAGTGGAAAATTTTTAGTCTGATTTCAGGGGGAAAAAAGTAAATTTTAGTTATGCCATGGAATGGGAGAAAGTAGTATGTTGGAACCACGACTCTGAACTCTCTTGTGAGTGAGTTTCATTAAGTATCCATTATCTGGAAGGAATGATATGAGGGCTAAGCCTGTGGAAGATAATAAATTTACATTAATTACCTCTGCATTTGAAGTTCTCTGAAGTTCTATTCTTCTAATAACCTATCAGATTAAAAACAAGATTCCTCAGTATGATCTCCTTGAATACTAATATAGAGAATAAGGGAAGAGATCAAAACCTGGATGAATAATTTGTGTAAATATGATCATACGTATACAGTGTATGACTATAACATTGAGAATCATCCTATAAACCACCCATAAAAGTTAATTTTATTATTTTATACTTAACTAGAGGCCTGAAGCATGAAATGTGTGCAAGGGCCTTGGCCCCTGCCCGAGGTGGCTTTGTCCAGAAGGAAGGACGTCCGCTTTTATTATTATAGGTGCTTGTACAAATACAACATATGAGGCAGGCTAAAGGACAAAGAATCAGGCAATGTTCTCAAAAGGCAGTAACAAATGGACTGCAGCTCTATATGTTCTTCCACAGTCAAACTAATCTCTTCGGTTGGATTAATCCACCACAGTTAAAACAATTATGTGTAGGTTGAATCTGGATCTTAGCTAAGAAATTCACGTCATGTGAAATCTACACGGACTTGTCTAAAAACATTTTCATTTACTTCATCCACCAGTAACTTAAAGCAGAACATAATAATTAGGACAAATAATTAGCCTTGACAAGGGAAGTATCAAGGAAACCACAATTCATCCATCTGTTACCTGTCCCTCTTCGGTGAATATTGGTTTGCAGCCTAATCTATTGTATTCATCTATTCATAAAGAGATCCAGGCCATTAGAACAATTAGTCTGGAATCACCAGTCTGAAGACTTCAAAGTTAAAAAGCAAGTAAAAATGCCTCCAAACTGTAAAGTGTCAATGTCTAGGTCAGGGAGTAAAGGGTCAAGCGTGAAAATACTTAGAAAAAGATTAAACATGGACTGTGAAAAACTTACTAAGTTGGTTGGAAGGTCATCCCATACAATAAAAGGTTCGATCCCTTTGGGTGTGTATGGGAGGCAACCCATTGATGTTTCCCTCTCTCCCCCTTCCTCTTGCTCTGAAAATCAATTTAAAAACTTATCCGCAGATAGGGATTTAAAAAATTACTGGACCCACAGCTATTTATCTGGTGAATCAGAGATGTTCTCTAACTATCATAAACCAAACTCTTAGATAGCTCTACCATTAGCTAAAAGGCTCAGAAATATTCTTTCTCTATTAATGCATTTAAAAAAAATGAAAATGACAAAGTGTTCTGTCCTAAAGTGGACCTTTATTTCAGTCCTACATTACTTAATATATATGTTGCTAAAAAGAAGGGTGTTGATCCATTTTATTATGCATAATTTAATATGAATTAGAAGGATTTTAAGCTGCTCTTTGAAGGCCTTTGTAACACCAAGATTTTTAAATTGAGAATTAACTGATTTGGGCTCTTGGCTGTTTTGCACATTGTTGAATACTTTCTATTGAGGGTTGCCTCAAGCTATTTTTGGACAAAACAGGTGTGTACAAATAACACATTAATAAAAAGTGCAGAAAATAATAAACTTAATTATGTCAATTTATTAGGCTATTTCTACAAAAGTTCTTTAAACACCCAGTCTTTGTAGTCTCGGCTAATTAGAAATTCAGAAGGTAGCAGATACTTAATTTTTTTCTTTCATGGAAAAATAAGTTTGCTTGGTAAGCTTCAGGCGTTTGCTTAGTGTAAGTAGTTACAGCAAGTTGGTCTGCGTACTCCCGAAGGAACAGAAAATTCTTTTGTCTGAGCACCACGAAGGTGGGGGCTGGGGAGGGGAGGGCTCTTGCTAGAGCATCGGGCTTGCGTGGGGTTCCCCCTCCCCACAGTGCGAAACATGAAGGAAATGTCCAGTAGAGAGATTTGCACATCGTGAAAAGTCTGACCGCTGCAGGGCAATTTTAATAAAGGGGAGCAGAGGAGTTTGTGTTCCCCAGGAACTTTTTTGAGGGCATATGGAGTGAGGGAGAAAAAAGAGGCCCTGAGAGAAATGACACGGTGCCTTTATGCAGAACCTGGGGCCGCTGCATTTTCCACAATAAGGACCCCGGACCACAGCGAAGGACGGCATGGCCCCCCATGCACGCAAGCCTGGGATGGGGGTACCCCGGCGATCTGTGGTTCCACTCACCCGGGGTCCCAGGTCGCGGGGCCCCAGCCTACGCAGCCCCCCTCCCCCTTCCCCCTCCGCGCGCCCCCCCCCCCATCCCCGTCCCCCCACCCCCGGGCCTGCAGGAGCCCCAGCCTGGCCCGGTGCTCCCACACCCGCCTCGCCTCGAGGCCCACACTCACGCTGGTCTCCCTGGAGCGTGCGGGTTGCGGGCTGGGAGTGC